TGCCGCTCAACTTCAAATAGCTCACGCATCAGAGGAAGTATTAGATCTCCCTTCAACATCAGGGGAAGCGGGCTGATGTCGGGCGGTACTACAACACTCATCCCGCACTGAGAGGCTACACGAAGCAGCTGTCAACTGTACGCAAACCGATGCAGTTAATGTCAATGTGCCGGGCTCAAAATGAAACTGCACAGATACAAAGCGTGGCAATAGTGCGAGATACGCGACCGCGACCCCCAGCCAGCTGTTTGCAGGATCCTGAGTGCCTGCTCCCGGGCTCGGAACTCCGCAGGCTCACAGCATGTTGAGAAAACACACCGGTGCTGCTCAAACTGTTGCGTTTTGTAAATTCGCATCTACTTTCCTGGGCAGAATCTCTTTCCGGATCGCTGTGCATCAGCGATAAAAAAAAAAACTTAGTTGCTTAAACGCGCTGAGATTCCAGCTAATGTACGAATTTAGTTTATATTGAACTCAAAAACAAAACGGATGTTCTAAAACCCTTTCCGTCTATTCCATTACTGTGACAGGCAGATCTGAATTGTTTCACAAAGTCCAACGTTTTGCGTTAATGTTAATTCCATTTAAGATGCAGGAATACCGTTTTGAATCATTAGCACACGTAAACAAAGTGCTTTCCAGAAATTCAGCGGAACAAGAATCTAAACACGTAGCTCATTACAGAAATTCCAGGAAAATAAACTTGTATTTTTAGGTTAGAAGACAACATGCTTTACAGTTACATTGTCGCTTTGTTTATTCAATACTACGGTTCCTGCCAGCAAGCAGGTTGAGTTTGCTAGCACTGCACAGCACGCTACAAACACCTAGTAAGCCAGCGAGGGGGCTACAGCGACTGCTAAACTGCAGAAGTGAACTTACCAAAGTTTGCTCATACTGCAGCGCTCGCAGCTCGCTCCCGTCCCCAGCCATGACTGCACACCACCGACACAGCCGGCTGTAATGCCAGTACGGGGAAAGAAAGGAGTCTCAGACGCCAAGGAAAACAGAAAACCGGACTGGGTGTGAGTGTCACAAATTCCTAAATAACGGACACCAGTTAGAAGGTGTTTTATAACGCAACCCTTGCACGACAACGAAGAATTCCCATCGGTTGCTCTTTTTTAGTTCCTAAATTTCTACGGGGTGCATTCCGAGGCGGGACTTGTGGGTGTTGTGCGAACGGCCCTCCCCTTCCCAGGCTGTGTAAGTGGTACAGTCGGCTCGTCTTCTAAGGAGCAGAGTTCAGCATGAGTCTACTACATAAAGAAAAAAGTTTGTGCAAGAAAAAGAGAGGGTGATCATATGAGCGTGATTCTGGCAACTTTTAACAGCTCCTTTGTTCTGGCTGGGATTTCAAAGAAAATATTTGATTAGCGTGCTCTCGCATCACTGGAAACGTTCGAGTTACAGGTTTCTCACTTGCTATGTGGGGCAGCAAGGCGAACACCTTACGTGCTACAGCATGTGTGTTACGTTTTATTATGCATTACACAACATCTTTGGCATATCAGGGAATACACCTATAGGCTGGGTCTTAAATGCGTGCTCTGCAGCGGTTCCAATAAAAAGACTAAGGAAAAGACACACATTCCTAAGATCAAATGTTTAAAAAGCGATCTGCTGTGGAGTCCCTGTTCAGGTTAGTTGCAGGCTGAACTATATTACCATCCTTGTGGATTAGAAGACCTTATCCTTTTTAAAAAAGACATGTTTTAGTCATAATTATTGCATTCAAATAAGAAACGTCTGACGAAGCTGTGACACCGAGAAAACGTTCGGATCGAGATACCACGATTTGAATGAAGTTCTTTTTTGCTCGTTTCCTTTGCACCGTCTCTCACTCTCGCCTGCCAAAATGCACATACAACTGCAGTATTAAGACCGTGGCGAGTTTGTTTTATTACAACAGCTGTTCTTGGAAATTGAACCCCGGTTATTCCAAAAAGTACCAGTAAATGTTAATAGAAGGCAGAACGTCTGAAGTGAATAGAGCATTTGGCAGATGCGGTTCGTGTTATAGCAGACACTGACTAAGCGCAGGCGACAGCTCTGTGTGTCTGGAGAAAGGTACAGTATTGACACCGATACACAAATAACCATTTTGGCAGAGCTGAATCTGCCTGCTTTCAGTGGATCATAAGTGGTCATTCCCAGCACAAGAGCAGTCAAACACTCTAAAAATACTAGTCATCTAGTCTGATGCGGTTGGTAATTACCGCTCTTTACAGTCTCGGTAACTCTTTCCCCTTATAGGATCGCGGTAAACCCGATCCTAACGATCCGTGTTAACCCCGAAAGTACAGGGCGCAAAGAGCACCACACCCTGAATTAGACGCCAGTCCATAGCAAGGTGCGCACAGGCACAGATGCGTACGGGAAGCATGTTGCATGTGTTAGGGGAAAAAACAGCAGCATAAAACCCGCCAGATACGAAAACAGTCTGCAAACGCCACACCGATGGCTCCACCCGAGCTGGGACTGACTACAGGACCTAAGAGCTGTGAGGCATTGTATCTTCTGCATGACTTTCGTGACTGTTATCTGTACGTAACCTTTAAAAATAGCCAATGTGCGTTTTGTTTTCGCAAAGTAAAGACAATTTTGCAGAGTTCATTAAATGGAGTACATATTATTACATTTAAAAAGAATCTGGGATCGTTCACACTTCCCCATCAGTGCTCAAGCAATCAAACCCCTTCACTAGCAAAAACAGGAGCGGAATCCACACCAACAACTAAAACAGTGGGCTAAATCTGTTTTGCCACTGATAATAACTTGAAACTACTTGTGATCAGTTGGTTTTTTTTTTTTTTTGGTGGGGGGCGTCATTGACTTTGCAGAAATAAAATACTAAAAGCCTCTTTCAAACTGTGAAGTAAATGAACAAATAGATTAACAAAAATAAGAGCCTGCATAAAATTCAGTGTATGGAAGCGAAAGCTACTTACTAAAATATACAATATTCTAACTGTGTGCAAATTTAAGCACCACTTACTAAACAGACATTGGCAGTCAAGAATCAGTTTAAAAAAAGGGAAACAAGATTAATTCTTTAGACCATATTTATACTACTACTAATAATGCTATTATCAGTATTATTACTAGTTACCGTAAAAATAAAATATGTATAATAAAAAAAAATACTTTTCTCTGTGTCCAGGAGGGTTTGCCCTGTGCAGCAGACTTACGTGATCCTCAGAGCTCCTGGTCTGTGAGGGCTGCATGTCGACTGTACAGCTCCAGGTAGATACGCGAAGGCACAGCGCAAAGCCATTCCATTTACTTACAGCATCTTTCCACCAGCCATATATAGGCTGGACCTGCCTGCATTTCAGGTATGCTCTTACTCCGCTGATTGGCTCTCTCTGAAAACAAGTCAAACCAACAACCAAACTTCAAACGTGGCCTTATTATTGTGTCGTTGGAACTGGCACTTCTGCTTTGGTAAATGACCGTGTGGTGATAAGTGTGTTGAGCTCAGAGCGTGCTCATAAGTCACTGTCAGACTTGTTTCACTGTTTCAGTTCTTTGCCTTTTCTGTCTTTTCAGGGTGGGGAATGTTAGTTTTAGCAATAGCAGTAATAACAGTGGCATTGATACTGGCATACTGCTCAACTGATCAGATCATGTGTGTTTATAGCCTCCCCAGACTCAGCTACACACATACTGTATGCCAACAAACAACCAAAGGTCCTGCTCAACAGAAGATTGCACAGTTTTCTATCCAAAAAATGTTATTAATGGTCATAAATGTTTACAGGCGCTAAAATGTTAGCAATTTTTAATGGCATCTTTTTTTGTGCCAGCAGCTATATCGACATACAACACACAACTGGTAACCCACTGAAGCTCAACAGGTGTGAGCCTGGTCAGTCCCTGGATGGAAGACCTCCTGTGAAATCTAGGGTTGCTGCTGGAAGAGGTGTTAGCGGGGCCAGTAGGGAGTGCTCACCCCATGGACTGCGTGTGTCCTAATGCCTCAGGATAGTGACGGGGACACTATACTGATGTGATTTAAAACTGAGATCTTGACTCTCTCATTGGGCCATTAAAAATCCCAGCATGCTTCTCAAAAAGAGTATGGGTGTTACCCTGGTGTCCTGAAATCCTCCTGGCCTTTACCAATCATGGCCTCCTAATAATCCCCATCTATGAACTGGCTTCATTACCCTGCTCTCCTTCCCACTGATAGCTGATGTGTGGGGAGCATACTGGTGCACAATGGCTGCCGTCACATCATCCAGGTGGGTTATACACACTGGTATTGGTGGAGAAGAGTCCCCATTATCTGTAAAGCGCTTTGAGTGGGTGTCCAGAAAAGTGCTATGTTTTTGTTATTATTATATAAATAGTATAAGTTGCACTGAAGGACTTACCCATTCTCTTTCCAGATAAATAAAATCACAGCTCTTCTGCTCTCATCAGCAAATTTGGCTCAAGCAGAACTTTGTGCTGCACCTATATTTTGTGATCTGTAAGAAAACTGATCTGACAATAATAATCAGGCCCTTTGCAGGTTAATATTCCCATGTTGTCCAAGATCAGTAGGATTGCAGATTAGTGCCACCCACCTGGGTGATAAATCTCTCCATACCAACAATGTGGAAGGTGCTGAATTGAGGGATGGATTGCTGGACATTAAACTCAAATTATACAGTAAATTATACTTGGATCACACTGTAAACTGCCTGGATGTTTAACATGAGTCACATATTAATTTCCCCAAAGTACTTTTATGAATTGCTTTATCTTGATATATAAGGATTTTAATCTATTATTTTGTTCATATTCCAGACAAGTGCATTTCAAATTAAAACCCCTAAAATACACAAATGCTGGATTCATATTCTGGATTGTATTTTGATTGTACTGTATTCCTCATAGGATTGTTGGTAGAATCATCCAATAATTCAATACAAGATTTTAACTAGAATCCATTTCCTGTTAGGATATTGACCAGGATGCACACAGTATCCCATGAGATCTTGCAGGATCTTGTGCACGATATTTACCAGGGAAGGATGTACAAACCCCTACACCCTACTCCCAACCTCCTTTCAAATTGTGAAAGAAATTAACAAAAAGATTAACAATAAAAAATATGAGCCTAAAAATATAAACCCTACACCCAACCCACTTCTAAATTGCAAAGGAAATTAAGAGATTAACAATATTAACAAGAATAAAATATGTGCCTGAATAAGATTTAATTATTTGAAGGCAAAACAATATATTATATGCAATATTCTGACTTAGAATACTGTCTGCAAGTTTGATCACTACTTACTAAAAGGCTATTGGTACTCTGGAACCAGTTCAAAGCAGAGCAACAAGATTAATTCCTTGCCTTTAAGGAAGGTCACAGATAAAGGAATTTAATAGACTTGAATAGAAAAGACTGCAGTACACTACACAAGGACTTGATACTAGTGTTCAAAATCCTGAAAGGACTGCTTTAGAGCCAACACTGAAACTGAACACTAAAGTGCCTGCGCTCACAAGTTAAGAAGCACTGTACATCTGTTTATAACTGATAACAGCTTCACACAAAGGGTTGTTGGCGTATGGAACAAGTTACTCAACCATGCTGTTGATGTCTTTGCTTGCTTCAAGAAGCAGCTGGATGAGATCCTTGGTCAATAAAATACTGTCCACAGTACCAGAGTTGGCTCCAGAGGCCAAATGGATTCCTCTCATTTGTAATCATTCTTGTGTTCTCTTGTGTCCTGAGTTGTGGCTCCAGTTTGATGGTTGTCACAGGGGGGTCCCTATATAACATCCTTAGTAGGGACCATAAAATAGTGACATTAATCAGGGAATATACCAATAGGGGCTAATGGAAACTGGGAGGATATGAATATTCCCCAGAGGACATTTAGTCCGACATATTTCTCAATGTATTCAACAGTAATAGGCACCAGGTCATGTCTAGAGTAGCGCACATTGCATTTCCTGTGTATCAACAGAACATTCACTTTTGTGTGTGTGTGGAACCACACATGACACTAAGAGACAAGGCAGTGGGAGGGGCAGGATGCTGTTCACACAAAGCAAGGCATAGTGCTTCACCTTCGTACAGTACACACAGAAACCCAATAAGGACACCTAAGCCTGTATAGAGTAAAATTACTTCAGCTCTAGCAACATTAATTAATAATTATAATAATAATTCGTTACACTTATATAGCGCTTTTATGGACACTCAACTCAAAGCGCTTTACAGGTAATGGGGACTCCCCTCCACCACCACCAGTGTGCAGCCCCACCTGGATGATTACATTACATTTGATCCGATCAATCAAACGTAGTCTTGCGCTTCTCGCCGTTTCTCTGAACTTCTCGGTTAGGGCGCTTTGTGGTCAGAGGACGTAAAGTCAAGGTAGAGAAAAGACAGTTCAAAATAATGCAGTAATACACCTATATTTTTTTTATAATTAAGCAAGTTTGCAATGGTTTTACTATACATTTGTTGTTTTTTCTCTCTGGACATTTTTAGGGTGTAGTTTAGGTCCTTTGGATGTAAAGCCAGGGAATTTTTAGAACCGTGGTCCCAAAAATCAATGTTGTAAAAGCAGAGAGATATTAAGTGGGGTCCCCCAGTGTAATCCTATACATCAGGGGTGCACAACTCCAGTCCTAAAAGGCCGGACGATTTCTGTTTTTCTTTGCACCTAAGCCATTAAAATATCCAATTAAATCTTTCCTTGTTCTTATAAAGATTTTAAAAGATCTATAACACCTGCTGGACTCTGGCGCTTGAGGACCAGAGTTGGGCAGACCTGCTCTGATGGGATACAAAGTGCTAACTGCACCCCTTTTGAAAAAGACAATGTGCTTAGGAGGAGACACCTTTCAACACAGAGAGAGGGACATCACCTGGTTTGAAGTATAAATAGTCAGGATATTTAATCATAAGAAGAATTCAGGTCCTGGTAATTTCAACCGCTGCAGACCACCTATTTTCCAGACCCCAGCTGTGTGCTCTTCAAGGTCAATGCTGCACCACTGGCAAAATGGAACTTGTTTAGTGTGAGGTCAGAGTTTCTATGTTTTGGGGAATATCAAATGTAAAGTGAATAGTTCATTGAGTGATTTGAAGCATTGCACCACAGAGTGATCCCACAACACTCCTACTGAAGCACCAAGCTTTAAATCAGCACAACCCTTGAGTGGCTCCCAGCACACTGGTCCTCACAGGTCAGAGGTTACTGGTTGTAATATGGGCTATGAAGGGTGTACAGGCAGCTGAACACTGTGGATCTGTGTCTGTAGAGGCTGCAGTGATTTTCTGCACAACAACTTCTTGGGTAACTGTGTACAGTATATATGTAAGCAACTTGTTAAATTAAGCATAGTATTTTCATTGTTTATATAGTTTTATTATGTTCATCACATTCCTTCTCCATGTCTTACTACACTAGACCATGGGAATACTACAGTATATCATGGTTCATGTTTCTAAAGGTTTAGTACACTGTAGTCTTCCCATAGTCCAGGGCAGCAAAGCACAATCAGAGGCAGGTTAATCCACAGGAGAACTGTGGTAAAGACAGTGAAAGGGTACAAAAGAATGATGGTAAAGTAAGTAAAAGGGTAAGAATCTTTTGGGGAAGTGGATGTGCGTGCAGAGGTATCAGTGAGAGACTTTACAATGTGTGGTGGGGCTTACATGGCCTGATTCACAAAACCCACAGGACACAAGTTGTCTTGCACTTCTCCTGCACTGACATACAGCTTGAAGGAGAGAGGCAGGCTCATTAACGAGCAACAGTTTGAAAACCAGGGATTACACATTGAAAAGTATGTGTTCGTTTCAACTGAAAGCACAAAAAAGACCTATACACTTGCCTGTGTGTTTCATAACATGACTTTACACCAAAACCTGGCATGTCTTTTTTCACAATGTGGGCATGGGAAGGATGAGAGGAAATGATTCATCAGGAAACCTTAAACAGAGTGGATGTGGCCCTCAGGTAAGTGCTACACTGTAATGTTTTTTAATGCGTGCAAGTTCCAGAAAAGGGTTTTAGGAGAAATTCTTAAAGACAGTAAAAAAATTGAAAATCTCGTCCTGGAAACCTGCTGACTCATGGTTGCAATCACTCATTTCAAGTGAACGAGCAGACTGATCTACAGTAATAAGCTCTGGCAATGAAGGTCAAACTAAGGGCACTTTCTTTTACAATTTTGTATCGCATTGGCATGACCAATAAATCCGTTCATTATTTATTTTATCTTACTTGAAACCACTTGAACCTTTGTGCATTAGAGCTGTTTAATGTTCAACTTTGAAGGATTTATGAGATGTTATTTGAGTAAACAGGCGCAAGGTTTGATCTCTTTTCTCAGAACTGCCGTTTTTCTCCGAATAGAGCATCTGTCCTCGGAAAGGAAAACCAGGCCAGTAAAAAGACAGTTCTCAGCCCTTTGCTCAGGTGTGACCAGCCTCTCCCATGAGAATGCTCCAGACACCTGTAAATGAAGTGTATGATTGGCGTTTGTTGTGCCACTCTCTTCCAACACCTCCTATTGAGTGCTCTCCAATTACATTCCACTCCTCTGCAATTCATTAGTGGAAAATCCAGAGCTAAACCATTGAAGAGCAGCGCTAATCCTTGTTCTAATAACAGAGTTTGGAAGACTGTTAATAATTGTTCTGGGCTCCCTTGTTCTTTGTTTGGTCTTTCTAAAATGGGATCACAATCGCCTTGATAGAAGTTACTGGGAAAGCTTCATTTGCAGGTGAAACGCATTTGACTAATGTTGCTAAGAGGAAGGAGATTTCCCAAAGTCTGGAAAATAAGTTCTGTTCACTGTCCAGCTATGCCCCCATTCAACACAAAC